TAAGCCAGCCACCTGCAAGGGTTTCAGCAGTACTATAATTGATGCACACATATGGGGAATGGTACTATTAAGGGGTTTAAGCTTTGTCAATATTTTTAATTAGGATGGTAACTCACTTCAAGTGTGTAATTTAGCAGAATCCTATTAAAAAGTGAAGAGATTTAACATAAACCTCTCCTCCCATGTGTCAAGCTGGGTTTTAATCGAAATAGAAATTGAAGAACTGTTATCTACTCTGACAATCAATACAAATGGCTCGTAACTTGGATGTCTATAGAGTTGAATTGCTCCAATTCCTAGAAATGCACGCAATCAAGTTTTCGATGTAGTGCTCTGAAAGAAGTGGTGGTAAATTAGTTCAAACTCATATATACTCACGTCTGTACGAAGTGCTTTAATATTTTTGCCACCTTTTCCAATCACTGCTCCTGCATTCTGGAAAATAGTTTTCAGAAGTTACATTATGACAACACAACACAGCCTAAGTTTTTGAACTCAAGACTATAAACAGTAGATCTATTTTTGCTGGCCCAAGAGGTGGGGACAGGCACTACTTTGGAAGGGTTCAAACCAAACTGAAACCAACTGGACGTTTGTCCACATAAAAAAAATTACCAAAAGCTCTTAAAACCATGAACACACAGAGAGAGAAAGACAACTCAGCTTTGCCACTAGTATTTCAATTCTAAAGAGAAGTTTCTAGGCAATTTTGCCCATGTTGAACTTCTCATAGACTAGGTCTGTTAAAAAAAATAACTAAATGAATGTAATGTAGGTCAATTATTTCCTCAATTCTCTGAATTCTCTGATCAGCTTTTTTTGTCCTTACAGGGTATGTGTATAAATTCCACTTTCGTGCTCCAAACATTTGATAATTTCAAGTGGTAATACTGCTTTGTACATCTGTAAAGCAACTAATTTCTCAGAGCAAGATAAACTGAAAAAGGCTGCAATTAATGCTAACAGCCACTAACTATTCAAGCCACCAGCGTTAACAGGAATAAACTGGCAAACAGTAAAAAACAGTAATTGCAAAATTTCATTTTTACCAGGTTCTTTGAAGGATTCTATGAAAAGTATTGAATTTATTACACATGTACATTATGCTAACAGCATGCAGAATGTTTCATGGTACTCCATGTAACTTGGCTATTGGTCAGAAATGCCACACAGAGTTAAGGCAACATTATTTCCCACCAGCACAGAAGACTGAGATACTTCAGAAACCAACTGCAGCAACTGGAAACACCAGAGGTAATTCATATACCACAACTTCAACTATTTACACCTGTCAACAAAACCACTGCAATCCCTGAAGCACTACTCCCACACTTCTTCCTGTTGATATAGTTGAACAAGCTTAGTAGATCTATTTGGGAGAGTTACTAAAATCCTAAATTCTCATCTCACATATTTAATCTAAAATAACAAATTTATAATCCTCAAAATACCTTCTTTTCCAAAGACTCACATACAGTCATTCCCCTCAATTAATATAGCTACCTTCCACTCAAATGTAAAAGTATCTTAGAATCTTTATTGCTCTACTTCTTAGCAAGTATATCTTTTTAATAAACCCTGTATTGATCCTTAGGGACTTAGCCTTTTAAGAGAACCCCGAGGACAATTTCATTGCAATACATCTACAACTACTATTCCTACATACTGAAAATTACTCTGTTATCTCATTTTAAAAAAAGCACATAATCACTCTGCACTTATAACCCAACATGCACTTTATCACCACCATCTTGAGCTATGCAATACAAAAAAACACTTAAAAAAAAAAAGGGCATACTTTGCTCTGAAGCAAGATGCGCAATTCAACCATCTCATCAGTGTTCCGAGATCTTTTGAAGGCCTGCTCTTCCTCCATATCTTCTGCAGGACGTTTGCCTGTAGAGAGGTCCATAGGGGGGAAACATAAACATTTATTTAACTTTCTAAGTCATAATAAAGTGGAACATGTGCCAAATTTATGCTCGTACTACTAATACATTCTTTCCTATTAGCACAAAACTAATTACAGACATCTATTCTGAACATCCACAGCACAGAAACATATCTTCACTTCAACAGCCTTCTGACTGATTAGCAACTGAAAACGCATTTAAAAATCTGTGAACTATGGCTTAAAGGAGAATGTTGCACACAAGCAATAATAATTTCAAAAAAGAAATTAATGACACTTAATCTAAAGGAGTGCAGCACCACCCACTTAGTATCTATTTATAATTTACAACTGGGGAAAACATTTCTGGCATAAAGCTCAAATATAGTTTGTCCAACACTGAAATACTGGTGAAATAATAGTAAAGTTACACTTTAGATGCTGTTTGGGAAAAACTAGCATGAATCAACAACAGCAAATGCCCAAATTTCCGTGGTAACTATTCCCAAGAAATTTTCTATTAAGCTCTTCAGCAGTATTTCACATATTCATACTCTTGCATGTAACAACTGCAATGAACAAAATGCAATTAACAGATGTGTCCTATACCATACATACATATTCACATTTTCCATACAGCTATGAAATATTTTTCAATATTTGGTCATAATTTTCAGTTCTCAAGTCTGAAACATGCCAACAGAAAGATTATGTTTATGCTTTAAAAGTATGTGCAATGACACAGTAATCAAAACTGAACATATCTAATGCAGAACTCAAAAATATTGCTCATGCAAACATACAGTAAAGTTAAATGATTACAAAATTCTTTGAAATCCTAAAGTTTTTAAGAAGGTCTTTCTAAAATGGAATAGTCCTTTAAAAAATTTACCATTTGTCTCTGTGTTGGTAAAGGTCTCCTCCTGTTGTTCAGTCTCCATTGCCTTTTCTTCTTATGTGGACAAGCAAAACCTGTTGAAAAACAAGGAAGGTACATTTTTTTTGTCAAAAGACAAATTGTACCTTATGCTAAAGTGAAAAAAGTAACAAAAATATATGCCTGCTGCTAGAACTTACCGCTATTATATATCCTTGCTGACCAAAACTCAAGTATTCTGGGCGGGATCAAAATCCAACAGCCTATTGCTTCAAGAGCCTATGAAAACAGCATATATCAGTTGTGAGTCTCCCCACATTGTAAGCCTGCTTCTTGCTACAGCCAGAAAACAGTTTGACCTAAGCAATTGCTGCAAATTTTCTCTTTATAAAAGAAAAAGCATAGGCAAGCCAAACACATCACTAAGAGAAGATAAAGGCCAAATCTATAGACTTACATAAACCTAATGTCTGAATTACAGGTTTTGGATACACTCTAGTTTTAAGTAACCACATAATCTCATGATATGTGCCTTGGTGTCACTTTCTAAAGGCCACTACACCAGAATCTGGTCTTGCTATCTAGGTCAACACTACCTACACTTAATAAATAGTCCTGTTAAGGTAATTGTCAACACTTGTACTACAAATTCTCTACCCATGTACTAACACACATTTGAGCATGCATTCCTCTCAATTATAATTGATGCAAAAATAAAAAAAATTGAGTAAAATAAAAATTACAACTTCAAATTACACTAAAATAACCTTTTAAAAAATACCACCCTCTGTAGTTACACACAACCCACTGCACGCATACACCCCCAAAAGCAACTGTAATTCAGTATAATTTTCTGAAATAAATTGTGACTTGCTTTCAGCTACTAAGTCACATTAGGGAGAAGTGTAGATATAATAAACAAATTTTCAACTTAGTATCATTAAAAATGTGATTTACAAATTCAACCAAACAATCACGTATTTCCCCTTGCATTGCATTAACTTCCACTGCCTCAACAAACAGCAGGCACTCATTCCTGTAGCAATAATCGGGGGAAGGGGAATGGGGGTGGTAAAGAAGCTGATTCAAACTCATTAAACGTACTCTCAGACAGCTATGTAATTGCTGCCCTGCTTGGAGGACTAATAACGGGCTCTGCCTTCCCAACACATGCCGGTATTTCCAGGCACTTGAAGTGGGCTAACGGGCATGCACAAGTTTAGCAATAGCGGGATCTCAGGTAGGCATTGCCAAAACTGCGCTGTTACGCGGATGGGCAGTAAGGAAGACACCGACAAAGTGTAATAGCCCTTTCAGATACCGATTAATCTATTTCCTACTATCCCAAGAATTTTCAGGCAGCGAGGAGCGAACTATTATCAGTTAAAATTCAGGGCTTAGTCTCCCCTAGCCAAAGCTCCCCATACGCCACGTGTTCAGTAACCTCGCTCAGCTAGGTAAATCGAGGACATTCACACTACTAGTGAAGCCAGGTTCCTTATGAACACCGAAGGGTCACAGCGGACAAGAGAGGTGGGACCAGCGACCACAGCTAAGGAACGCCAGAGCGCCTCCAGGGCACAGAGGCACTTCTCGCCTGCCTCTTTCCCCCTCCCTCCTTGCGTCTCCAGACGCCCGCCCAGCGCGGCGGGGACAGGGGCGAAAGCGGCGGCGCTGCGGAACCCCTGCGGAGCAAAAGAAATGGCGCCCTCTGAAATGGCGCCCGCCCGCCCGCTGCGAGGCGGAGCCGGGAGCGGAAGGGCCGCCACCACCACGCGGCCGTGGGAAGCGTTACCCGGCTCTGCCCGGGCGGACACAAAGGAGGTGCCCGGCGGCTCGAAGCCCAGTGCAGCGGGCGGAGCAGGTCAGCCCTAGAGCCACGGGCAATCCGCCCGCCCCCGAAAGCAGCGCGGCTGCGATACAGAGTGTCCGCCTCCCGATCGGTCTCTGCATCTGCTTCCGCGCAGGCCGCGGCCCGGAGCGCCCTCTCTGCGCCCGCCATAATCCTCAACAGAAGCTCGCCCTAAGCAGTTACCACGGGCGGGCGCGGGAAGGCAGCTACCGCGCCCCCGCCCTTAGAGCGCAGCCGCTGACGCTGCGGAACTCGCACTGTCCCCGCGGGGCAATGGGGCCAGTGGCCATCTAAAGGCCCTCAGCAATAGCCAAGGCGGCGGCACACCGGTGTCCTCCACGCAGAGATTTCCCTGTTCTACCGCCAACCCTCGGAACCCCACGGAACCCTGGTGCCCACAGCAGCCCTCGGCGGTTGAGGCCCCACGACACAGGCCCTCTCGCACCGCTGTGTCACGCAGCGCCGCCGAGCGAGGTACAGCGGCGGTTCTACCGGCCCAGGCCTGGACTGGCCTGTGTCCTTCTCCCGCCCCCTTCCCCTACTCGCCGGCCCCGGCTGCACGCCGCCGCGGGCTGCGCGTACCTGCGCCCACCGCCGGCCCCGCCGTGTACGGTAGAGAAAGGGGATCAGCCCCGGCCTCTAACGCGCACATCCACCAGCGCCACCCGCGATTGGCCCCGCCACCGCCCCCCGCGCGGCGCCGCCGCCGCCTCGTTGGGTGAGGCCGCTGCCCATCAGGAAATGAGGCGGCGCCGCGATCTGCACCGCCCTCCGTGAGGGAAGGGACGAGACGGGCCCGGGGAAAGGTTGGCGCCGTTAGGCCCGTGCCGTGGCCGGCCAGCCTTCCCTACCTGGGCTGCGGGAGCCGCGCGGGGAACGGCGCGGGCAGCGAGGAGGCGGCCCAGGAAAGCGGGAGCAGCTGCAGCCGAGAGGCGAGAAAATGGCGGCCACTAAAACCCCGCCTTGTGCGTGCAGCCCGGCGCCGGCTATGGCGAGGCTCTCGCGATGGTTCGACGGGCGCCTCCCATTGGCTGGTGGGTGCGCGCGGCGGTTTTGGGGAGCGTGGGCTCGGGCGCTGCCCCGTTTCTCAGGGCCGGGGCCGCTCCGCTAGGACCCCTCGCCAGCCTGGTGAGTTGGAGCTTTCGGCCCCTCCAGGGGGCTGCGAGATGCGGCCTGTCCTCATTCAGATCTTCCTCGTCCCCCCGCGTCTGCTTCCCTCCCTCATCCCTTTCACCTCCGTGTTTAAAGCTGACGCTTTACTGGCTTAAGTAACTACGCGGTATCTTCCAAGCGGTGGATCTTTTGGGGAGAGCTTGGAGGCTCTTTTGTTCGCTCTGAAGGCTTTAATGGCAAAAAAGCCCCAAGAAACACAGTGAAATCTACACCTGGTGTTTCTTAAACATTCTTACTGTAGGTTTCGTTTTCTTTGTGTTCTGTAGTGAGACTGAACCCCTCGGTCGCCCTTTCTAAGGGATTGAACGTGATCCATACACAGTCAGGCATCTTAATATCTTTTCAATGTAGTAGTGACATGGATACAGGAGTTAAATGCAATCTTAGCCGGTGTGCTAGCGATACCAGATTGGGAGGGGCTGCTGAGTCTTTCAAGACACAAGAGCCTTCCAGGGGGATCCGAATAGACTGGAGCACTGGGTAACTATCAGTGGCATGAAACTTTAATGAGAACAAATACAGATTCTGCCCCTGGGATGCAGTAAAGCTGGGCACAAGTATCGGCTGGGAGAGGAGTGTGTGTAGAGCAGCCCTGCAGAAAGGGATCTGGGGGTGCTGGTCTGCAGCAGCTCAGGGTGAATCAGCAGTGTGTGCCCGGGCAGCCAGGAGGGCAAACCCCATCCCGGGCTGCATCAGACACAGCATCACCAGCTGTGGCTGGGATCATCCTGCTGGATTCAGCCCTGCTGCGGCCTCACCCTGAGTCCTGTGTGCAGTGCTGGGCCCCACAGCCTGAGAAGGATGGGAAGGGCCCTGAATGGTCCAGAGGAGGACAACAGAGCTGGTGGAAAGGCTGGAAGGCACATCCTGTGAGGAGCGGCTGAGGGCTCTGGGGTTGTCTGGTTTGGAGAGAAGGAGGCTCAGGGGTGACCTCATTGCTCGGTACAGCTTCCTTAGTGAGGACCTGGAGAGGGAATGCTGGCCTTTTCCTGACATCCAGCAACAGAGTATGTGGGAATGGTTCAAAGCTGTATCAAGGGAGGATCAGACTTGACAATAAGGAATAATTTCTTTACGAAGGACAACAAAGCTGGTGAAAGGCGTAGAGAGTTAGTGGTGTTAGGTGTGGTTGAGGGAGCAGGGCAGGAGTACAGGAGGCTCAGGGGGCATATTATTGCTCTCCAAATCTCCTTGAAAGGAAATTGTTGCAAGGTGGGGGTCAGTCTCTGAGTCTGACATCAAGGTTTTCCAAGGGAGGTTCAGGTTGGACATCAGAATTTTTTCATGGAAAGGATGTTTAAGCAGTGAACAGTTTGCCCAGGGAGATAATGGAGCCACCATCCCTGGAATTGTTCAAGAAGTGATTGGACATGGTACTTGGTGCCATGATCTAGTTGACATGCTGGTTGGTGTTAAGTCAAAAGTTGCATCTTGGAAGTCTTTTCCAACCTGAGTGATTCTAATTCTAAGAGAATGATCAAATACTGAAAAAGGCTTCCTGTAGATGTTGTTGATGCCCTAAACTTGTTAGTGTTTAAGATGTATCTGGACAATATCCTTTGTAATGTGCTTTTACTTTTGGTCAGCCCTGAATTGGTCAGGTGGTTGAACTAGATGATCATTCGAAGTCCCTTCCAACTGAAATACTTCTGTTCTACTCTGTGCAGAGCTACTTCCTAAACTAACAAGAAGTTAGAGTTTATTACCCACTGATATACTTGAAATGATAACTTGCCAAGATTTGGTGCTATTGCAGCCAAGTTCTGCCCTGGGTGTCTAGATAACATTGATTCAAGCCAGGTTCCTGTTGTCAGGTACAAAGCTTTCAGTCACAGACAGAAAGTCACCCCTCTGATGTAAGTGTTGCTAGACCGCAGCTTGGTTCTATAGATCCTCTTACTTCTGTTCCTAACAGTGCTGATAAAGTGGGAGAGTACCATCTCAGGTCAATTTCAAAGTAAACTGTCTGTTAACAGAAAGAAAACCATAAAAAAAGAGGAAATATATTTTAAAACCTACTTCCGTTTTGGTTTGGGGGTTTTTTTTGTCCATTCACTTACAATTGATATGAAAAGGGTTTCAGTTATAATTTTCTAATTAAATCAACAGAAAAAAAGCATGGTTGCTTGTGTAAGTCTCCATACTTTCATTTTGCACATACCTTTTATGCCAATTGAAACGTTAAATGTTAGAAATGCCTGTAATTTTATTGTCTGTAGAAGTATTTTTAATTTTTTTATGTAAAATGAGAATGAAATGTGTAATAATTTCAGTTTTTGTCAAAAAATTAAGTATGTCTTTTTGAATTCAATTTTAGGGAATTCAGTCTCTTACCGTGAAAGAAAATGTCTACATCTAGCATTGTAGCAAGAGTGGAAACCTGGCTTTCATCCACATGGCACATTAAAGTTCCTTTAACATGGCTGGCAGCATGTATTAATTGGATCCAGGAAGAAAACAGTGGTAGTAATTTAAGTCAAGATCAGATTAATAAGCAGGTATTTGAACAATGGCTTCTTACCGATCTGAGAGACTTGGAATATCCAGTTTTGCCTAACTGCATCTTAGATACTCCCAAGGGAGAGTTATCAGGCTGCTACTCCATACAGATTGATTCACTGGTGGATGTTAGCCAGCCAGCATATTCTCAGTTGCAGAAGCTAAGAGGGAAAAGCACTGTAAATGAAGAAGTAACAGGCAGTTCTCAGGCATTCCAGAAGCCCTGGGAAGCAAAGCCTACTCGAATGCTGATGCTGCAACTAACTGATGGCATACATCAAATTCAGGGCATGGAGTATCAACCGGTGCCCGTTCTGTGCAGTAATCTTCCTCCTGGAACAAAAATCACAGTACAGGGCACTATTGCATATCGTCTTGGTGTTCTTCTGCTTAAGCCAGAAAATGTGAAACTGTTGGGGGGTGAAGTTGACGCTCTTCTTGAGGATTACTGTCAGGAAAGGGTCCTTGCTAGATTAATTGGAGAAGCTGAAAACCCTAATTCTGTTGGACAAGCTGGACATGAACAGATTTTTGCAAGGCCCGTGGATGAATTAGAACAAACTCTTGGCCCTTCAGATGAAGAGCTTTTAGCCAGCCTTGATGAAAATAATGAATTTACTTTAAACAACAGAACATCTTTAGAAAGTGGATACTGTAGTAGAAGCAACAATTTTAATACAGCCTCAGATTCACTGTCTGCGCACAATGGAAATGTTTTGCTACAAAAACCTGGAAGTCCTTTGCCTCACTCAGATGAACAAGTTTTGCCTCCTGTAGAATATGCTGATGCCTTTTTAAATGATTTTCCTTTAGAAGATGACTTTCTTCTGGAAGAAGAAATGCAAAGAGAGATGGAAGAAGTGCCACCAGTAGACATGAACAGAAACATAGGTTTAATTACTGACAGACTTCCACATACATCTAGAAGTTCCTGCCCTTCGTCTTTAAATGGCACTGGTGAAGAAGACCATGTGAATGGAAGAGATAAGCCCAGGGAAGCTATCAGCAAGGAAAAGAATGTGAGAAGAATGATACTTGATGAAGATGGAAATAGCATAAGTAACTTTTTGCAGCACAAGGGCTTATGTCAGACCTGCAGTTCATCTGATTTTTCTTTGGAAAATCCTCCTAAGGAAGGGCAGAATTATACAGACCTAGATGAGAGCAGATACAAACACCAACACACTTCTGACAGCAGGGTATTAAATGATGATCCTATGTTTTCCCTAAAAATGGATCCAGAAGGAGATCAGCAGGATCATGATTTACAGATTTTTCCTTGCAAGGAAGTAGAGGCACATTTAGATTTAGATTCTCCACCTTTCACATATATTTCCGTTCTCCTTGCAAAAAAACCAGAAACTGTTACAGTTCTGAAAGTTAAATGTTTTATTGTCACTCTCACTGGAAGCCTTACAAAAAGCAATGGGTCCTGGGGTATAAAGGCAAAAATTTCTGATGGCTCCGCTTATCTTGAAGTAGATTTTGCTGATGATATTCTAACAAGTTTGATTGGCTTTTCAGTGCCTGAAATGAATAAGCTGAAAAAGGATCCAGCTTTACGTCTAAAACTTAAGGATGGTTTAGAGAAATGTCAAAAACAGCTGATAGATCTCTGTTGTTTGATGACTATTGAGTTTAATCCATTTCAGTCTAAAGCTACTGTATTAATTCTCCAGGAAGCTGATGCTAGGCATCTAGAACAATTGAAGAAACGTTTGAATAAATAACGTGTGCAAACTTGCAGACTGTATATTAGGGAATGTTTAAGTCAGATTTCCCTTGAAGAACTCTTGAAAGTTAAGTGATGTGTCTTATCAGGAATTATAATGTAAAAGTGTGACAAGGAAATTACTTGTTGGAGCAAAGCTGAGCGTTTTGTTTCTAATGGTAATAGTATTGCAATAAGATTTCAAATATTTGTGTTTTGATTTTTTCATTCTGCAAAATCCTGTGTGTTCTAGACTGGTAATCCTGAGTAGCAGAATTTGTCAGGAAATGTGTAACAATGAACAAACCATCTTGTTACTTTACTTTTTCAGGTACTTACCTGATTTTTAAAAGAAAGGTACAGGAGACTCTGAGTTTTTTCTTGGAGAAAATCAGTTGAATAAATTTAAATAACAAATTATTGTTCAAATACAGTCTCTTCTGACTATGCCAATCTGGAGACTCAAATCTATATTCACTGTGCAAGAACCTAAAGTATAGAGAAATGAAAGATTGACTTCTAAATACTCAGGGAAAGAAAATCCAATCCTATACAAAATGTGAGGGAAAGAAAATCCAATCCTATACAAAAGAAAATTAAAAAGCTTCTTTATTTTTAAAAATAATTTAAAAGAAAGCCAAGTGTTTTTAAGTTTTTATTAGAATAAAATTGTAACATATCGGGATTTTATTTTTTTTTTGTCATGCTAATGTTAATAATTACTAATAGCTTTGAAACTAAAGGCAAACTCATTCATGAACTCTTATGGTTACTTGACTAACCTTTCTGCAGAGTAGTCAAATACTTCTGCTGTGTATATGTTGTATAGTATGTTTAATGTTGGTCTTAATTTTGATTGACTTTTTTTAAATTTCTGCTTCTAAAATAATAAAGTTTTCATTTAAATTTTGGTGGATGCTGTTTAGTCACTTTGAAAGAAAAACATATATTTTGTTGAGTATATAGAGTTTGATTAAGCTTTTTGTTCTTTTTTTTTCTTCCCATCCTTTCCCCTTTGCTTAGTTTTTGGTTTTGTTTTTTGGTTTGCTTTGGGTTTTTGCTTGGTTTTGGGGTTTTTTGTTTGTTTTTTACTTTGGTTGATTGGTTTGAGTTGGGTTGTTTCCCAGTGAATTTAGAAGAATTAATATTCTGGCAGAGGAACCAGTGACAGGAGCAGTTTGCCCAGTGTTGGTAGTGTTTGCAAAGAATGTAAAATTGGTGGCTAGGAGAGGGATTTTTTTTTAATTGATGTGTCAGTATGTTTTTTCAAAGACTTTTCTTTCTCTGAACCAATGTCTGTTGGGCCATTGAGATTTGCTGTGACAGATGGTCAGTATATATTACTGCTCAATCCCAAATTAAGAACCATGCTTGAAGACTCCAAGGAAAACTAGAGGTAATTTGCCAAGTAAGGTGAAAGTGGAGGAAGGTGGGGTTTGGGACATCTTGAGGGTTTTTATGCTTGAGGTGTGAGGGGGTTTAGGCTTTGTTTTTACGGTTTATAAACACAAGCATATCTGTGTCCCTTTCTTGCCCTCCCACAGGGAAGAGAAACGGAGGAGTTTATAACCCTGTGAGCCACCTCTGTGTTTATTTTCTGAGGCTTTTGGGAACAGTGCATTGTCTAGAATTGTAACAGCAAAAGCTTTTTCCTGTCTGGAGCCTAGACTACTGGATCTTGGGTTACAGTTTCAGAAAAAATTGCTTGTTAGTAGGAAACTGACCAAGCTTCATTTCATGTAATCCTTGTAGAAGTTAATAGAGCTGACTGTAAATCTTTAGTGCCATTTTATGGAAATATTTCTCCTATAATGAGTTAGGAAACTTCCTTTGAAGTTTTTGCCTTAGCATGTAAAAGAAAAGGAGTCTTTAAACTTCAAACAGCATGAATAATAGACAGATTTTATACTGCTTGTGCAAAGCAAGAGCCATGTTATTCAAACTGCAAAATTGAATTGTTATATTTGGTTTAGATGATGAAGACACACCTGCCCCTCCTTTTTTTCATTTGCCTTAGCCATCTCTGCTACAATAATTGCATGTCTCCTGTTCTCTTCCTCCTTCCTCCACCTTTCCATCTTAAAGGCAGTGTTATTTATCTGACATTTTCTCCTCCCCGCCCTCCATTGTCCTTGTATTCATATTCAAGCCACTCTCATTCCTGTGGTCCAGTTCAAGCAAGATCTCAACAAAGCTGTTTACAGCATGACTGCTCTGCAGATATTTCAGTGCAATTTTCTGGTGTACAAGGTTACCAGATCTGTGTTCAGGCTTTTAGAATAAATGAGAAATACTGCATAGTTTTTCCAACAAGAAAAGGAATGAAATTAATGATATTGAGAAAGCATGCTTAGTTAAGAGCTGATGTCAAACAGAAAACGGTTTATGTGGTTATGCATACCAGTCATTGATCTTGCCTTATCCACTTTCTTTGCTCTCAGAATCAATTTTTCTCTTAACAGTCTTAATGTTTTGGTGCTATGTGTATACATGGTGTGCATATATTGCCTCACTGTACCTGGCAGTGATGTGTGTCAGAGCTCTTCAGAGAACCGCTGTTCTTACAGGCTGAATTCACAACACAGTTGCAACCCCAGCAGAGATATGGCCACATTTCTGGAGAGTGCAACAGCTCTGCTGTATCAGCTGCTGAAGGCACTTGTCATGGCAGCTGCTCTCACACATTACATGTAGCCTTCTGGCAGAAAGCAGCTTTTGCACTTTCTGTGATCTCTTGTCTACACCATATCACAAACCAACTTCTTCTTCATGTTTTCTTTGGTTCAGGTGCTAAGTAGACTTCTGCACTTGCAGTGTATCTGACTGCAGTTTCAGAATCCGTGTTCTTCAAGAATATTTTCATTTTTATGGGGAAAATAAGCTGCTTTTTTTGTTGCTGTTCACAGTGAGAACTTCCAATTAACTTGGTCTCAATATATGAAACCTGCAATATTCTCACACAAGGACATGGATGTTATTCTATTAACAATAAAAGTTGGTTCTTGCCTTACAGTTATTCAAGAAAATGAAACCCCGTGCTATGGCAGTGCCAGGTACCTGCATCAAAATATCCTTTAAAAGCTCTGTCACTAAGGCAAGCTAGTAGAAAACAGAAGGCTCTCAGAAACTTTGCTGTGCCCTAGTTCTTTTCAAGGTATTCACTCAAACTGTAGAATAAGGCCATGGCTAGTCCAAGAAATATGGCAGGTTGCCAAATAGACTAGGCTGGCAAGAACAGCTTGAGGACTAGTCTAATCCTACTGGATGTTAGTTTGGCCACAAATATGCATGTCATTATAACCCAGCAACCTTCTTGTTGAACACTGGCAGTGTTCTCAGGAAGCAACAGCTAGTTGAGATAATGTAATTTCAAAGTATGAATGAAGAATGTTAAGGGATTTCCTAAAAGGTATTTTGGACTGCTCAGTAATGTGAGTTCACAGTAGAAGAATTATATATTCAGGTCATATCAAAAGCAGAAATTTTCACAGTAATGGAACGTGATTAGATGGTACAGTAAACAGAACATTTGATTCTAAATACAAAGACCTATTTCTTGATGTCTCACTGTAATAATGTCAAACATTTCTGTTTTGAAAAAAAAGGTAATAACTTCAAGCTTTTTGCTATAGGGGGGAAAGAACGATTTATAGTACAGTGTTTCTGAATTATCTGGTGGCAAGGAAAATTACATGTATTTATCTGAGAGGAAAAGGCAGAAAGGACTTTAAAATTTAAGTAACACCTCTCATTTCAGATCCCATTCTCTCGTGTTATGGTGCTAGAAGGAACAGAATACCAGTAGTAATAACAGCTAATGAAAGGATAAAGGATAGCTGACATTACAGCTCTGAATTCAACAGAAGAGGCAAGTTTCTTACAAATCAGCTGCTCATTTAAATGTGTGTGTATGAAAGTCTATGTTCTGTATCAGTCTGTCACTCTTTTCCTTAAGGACTACGTATCATACTGGATTTTCTAATAGGGTGAAATTGCAGTGTGTGGCTGTTAAAATTTGTCCAGCTTCTGATTCTTAAGGCTAAAAAAGCCTAGTTCTTCCATCCTTTCCAGGAAATGGCATGTGCTCTATCTCCCTGACCACCTTGGCAGTGCCTGCTGGTCACCTGCTTCACTGTCAGTGGCTTTGTTGTGCTAGGGAATGCTAAATAGGACACAACACTCCACATGCAGTCTCACAAGTGCAGAAAGCAGAAGGTAGCTTGCTCTCTGGGACCTGCTTGTTGGCTCTGATGGTCGTTGCCGCCATAACGTCACATAGCTGACTTCTGGTATGCCGCACACTTGGGCTCTTACCCTAAAGCTTCCTACTAACCAGCTGGTTCCCAACCCATACTCTTGCATGGAGTTGTTTCTGCAAGGATAAAGGAATTTGCATTTGTCTTTGTCAAACTTACATTTCTGCAAGTCCACGTGTCCATCCTATGCCATATTGATTCTGTATCTAATTGCTTTCATTTCTTTTCTTGCCCCTCCGTGCCACGTGCGAAAACTTCTCTACCACTTGTGCCATATCTACACAATCAGACACCTCTTTCTAGAGGGAATTAGGTTAGGCAGACATGACACTGTAGGCCTGTGCTGACTGTTTCAAACTACCATCACCTTCATGTGCCTAGGTATGGATTCAGAGAGGATTTGCTTTAACCTCTGCGACTGCGGTTAGACTGTCAAGTCAGTAATTCCCTGGATCCTCCTCCTGAAACATGGGTGTGACACTTGTCTTTTACCACTCACCAGCTACTGCTATAACCTCTCCAGTGTCATGGAGAATGTCCTTGCGGGACATGATCCAGCACCCTCTCTGGTCCCACGTGGAGTTGTATGTGTTTGCAGGGTAAAGTACTCTTGCTACAAGGGGGTGCTGGTACGTATGAGCTCAGTAAGACACTCTGACTCTAAAATACCATTTATAACACAAGTTATTAGAAGTAACACTTCCAGATAAAGGCAAGGCCATGCAGGTGGCATTAGCTCTGATACAAATGGCAGCTGCCTGCTGGCTCCTCCAACACTGTGTCCTGCTGAGCTTGTCCCACCACTAAGAGATTTGGACAGCCCAATACAGCCTGAAGGCCACAGTGGCTGTGCACAGCACAGACCTGTGCCTGCTCAGGATAGTCATTACATTATGTGGGTCACTGGACACTCAACATCTTCTGGTCAGCATCATCCCATTCCCTGTCCCATTACTTGCAGTAGGCTGTACTACCTTTCTACAGATACTGTTCATAGGCTTGTGAAAGGTAATAGGCTTCTTGTCATCTGCTCATGGAACACCTGCTTCTTTGGGAATCTGTGTTGCCTGTGTGAGCTGTAAGTTATTTAGGCTGTATCACAGGTTTCACACTGTAGTGGCAGAGGAGATGGTGGAAGAACATTTTTGGCCAGACAATACTATTTAAAAAGCCATGGTAATATATAACTTACTGCTTTGTGCCAGGTGAATACCAAAACATATTTTAGATTGTTTTCATGGACAAAACTAACATTGATTTCAGCAAAGTTCTGTTAATATAAAGGAGGGCAAATGTAGGCTTCACAAATACTGTCTGAATTTGTAATGTGGCACAAACCA